GTTTTGAACAAGATCGGCTTTTCTTGAATACCAGGCGCCCTTAAACAAAAAGTTAAGGGAATCACTTATTTGATTTGGCAATTCTGTTTGTGTTGTATTCATCATATAAACGTATGCTATATCCTGTGCGTTATTTGTCAAATCTATGAATGAGAATGTCTTCAATTTACAATACGAACGCACGTACACGAACTGAAAGTCATTCAAAGAAATAATAGAAATGATATTATTTCGACTTCATAACTTTCAAAAATATGTTATTATATTTTGAAACGATGTCATATGATGGAAATACTGCTCAAAGCGGCGTTAAAGACTCTGTAATTTCATGCACATGTACCTCCTACTGAGACCCAAAGCTGATGTTCATCCTCCCTAAACTAATGCTTACAATTTATAATCCATTTTTACATGGAGCCACACTCCCCTCTAGTTTGTCAAACATGTTTACCATTGTCTAGAGACAGACAGCTTGTTCAATACCACTTGATATATCGAACATAACTTTACAAGTCTATAGTATTCCACTTCTGGAACCGGACAGCCGTCATGTTCCATGATTGTTTGATTCTCAATTCCGCAATGTATTTACAGTGTGTCTGAAGATGCTGGCAAAGCATATTGGATATGACATTTCAAGACACTTAATCACGTGTTTACGTAATCAACTTCACATACTGAACATTCTTATCTAATAAGAGCGATCATTGGACGCGCACAGTCAGAAACAAAAGTTCTGAGTCACCCAAAGGTACAAAGACTGAAGTAACCAAGTTATGATTCATACTGATTTTAAGACGTAAAATACTTGACGCTAAATGTGATCGATTTAACATGACATTTATCGCACTTCTTGCTAGCCTTCTGGGTTATAATCTCCTCCGATTATAATGCGGTCATTACATCATGATATTGCAGATTTTCACAAATCTTTTATCCAGCATAAATGGGTACCGGAATACCCTGAGATCAAACGTTGAACATGATATCCGCCTTGGACTTTGTCATATCCACCTTCTGCGAATATCACTTCATACCCCAAATCCAATAAGTGTGATTGTATTACGCACAGTTTCCGATCATCAAGAGGACGGGGCATGCACGGTGGCCCCTTCCACTTCTAATAAGAGTCCTCTTTAATTAGATATTTGCTTGTTTTCAGCTCATGTCGTGGCTTATTAAGCCTAACCGTGTCAACGAACAGGATATATAGCTCTCCTATCTAATAACAGTAATGCAATTTAAATGATTATTGAAGTGGTGCAACTGCTGCGAAGCCTCTTGTTGGTTTAATCCAAGGCCCCTTAGGGCATCTCATTGCTTTGATGTCCTTAGGGAGAGAGGAACAAGTGGTTTGTAAGAGGAAATGATTTTATTTACTGTAACGAAAATATTACCAATTGATGTTTATCGCTCGTCCGTGCCATGAAAGAGATGTATTGATTGATTAAAAACAACAACGCTGAATATATCGATTTTATCTTAAATGTGAACTCTCCCTAATTAAGGAATGCATTACTTTTGTATTTTGAAGGAAACTAACGTTTTTCTCTTTTAAGAGTCTGGTTACAGCAACGGAAATGTCACGAGTATCGTGTCGTAGTAGATGTTGTAGTCGCAGTAGTACTAGCTGGGCATATTAACAGCAGTCGTAGTAACAGCGGTAGTAGTCGGCTTTGCAGTAATCGTTAGTGAAGTCGCAGTAGTCACGTCAGATGGATGAGATGGATGAGGAGGAGGTGGATGAGAAGGAGGAGGGAAGATGAAGGTTTCCTGCAGGTAGCATTGTCTGTGTGGTGGGCATGTCGGTGACTACATGTATGTCAGGGACAGTAAAATGACCGGAATCATAATAATGATGATAATCATAATGATTAAAAAAAAGCTTGATACATCACTTGCAAATGGATATCTATAAACAAATAATTTGGATTAGTATAGCAACGCATAAAGACTGTTGCATAAGAGAATAGGATTGATTTGACAAAATTAACAATTGCTGTATATATTAATGTATGTGCTGTTTCGCATCTCGAAGTAGTAAGAAACAAGCTGGAAGACCCTATCTAGCGGACGTAAGACTAAAACCTATAAAGATTATATGCAATTGTTAGGACCTGCATTGATGTACAACATGTTCGAACTGGTACTTAACAACACATTTTATACCAAACACCTAAATATAAAATGACGTTGCTTGGGAATGTAGAATATAATCTTCACATTTATCTGTATATGAATGTATAATTCAAAAATAATATAAGACTAGAAATACATTTATAATTACGTCCTTGTTTCTTTTTATCTGCGCATTGAAGAGTAAATATACATCAGAATCGTTTAAGACATTCCAGTCGTTCTCGTAATGCTGACTTGTTATAATATACTTATCATGCTTGTGTAGATGTCCGTGTGAAAATGTCTATGATATATTTCTCGAATGTCCTATTAATAACCAGAACGTTAATGAATACTGTATAGTATTAGTTGGAAGTCATGTTTTTAATCGAGGATATTGTTTATGATGATAGTTCATGCCCATAAATACAAAACATCTTCATTATTGAGAGAGGGCAAAACATGTTTCGTCCACAAAAACATTTGATTAACATTGTTATTTACTGTCATTTATACTCATTGCCATCCATCGTACATTTGTTGTTCTACCATTTACAACTACGTCGACTAGTGAATCATTCCACGGAGACCAAAACACAGAAGATGTTCCCTTTGTTTACCAACTGTTGGTGTGGTTCTGGTGCTGCTGTTAGCCATGGCATCATCTGAAGATGAAACGAAAACACTAGACAGTGTAGCAGAGATGACGAAGGATAACGTACACATATATGGCGTATCGATGGACGTGTTCAGATCGTCAGTGTTTGTTGCAGAGAGGCATCAATATAAGTATCGTGCTCGTAACCACATCTAATCATTGTCAATGAATTAAACAGTACATCACGATACACGAAGTACGCCAAAGAACCTGGCAGACTCGGAGATAACATATTCTAAGTCGCTGTACAAGATTTCAAATAGTAAGGGGAGATTCGGCTCCTGTGTTATTAGGGATATATCTTATAACGTGATAATAATATGATCACACGTTAACAATTTGATCATTTATGGATACAAATCCGAAGGATTTACACTATATATCAATCTAGACAACGGTAATATTGTGGTGATTCTGATGACTCCGATGATTCGACGTCATCAGCAAGCTTCGGTCTGGCGCCTTCCCCAGAACGTGGATCGAATACCAACATTAACAGTATTGAGTGACATCTCATATCGGAAGCATCAGTTTAGACTGCCTTCATATGGGGAAATAATTATGCTGACCTGCATACGTTGAGCCCTAGTCAACGTTTCTTTGCATCAACAGTAACATCAGCATCAACTGATGGAGCATAATCTTTAATGGCAGCAACATCTTTAATGGCAGCAGCATCCATAACGTTAACGACACTAGCAGTTGCAACCATAGGAGAAGCTGCGGGCGAGGGAACTATTTTTATTTTGCAAATCCCACGTTTCGAGGTAGTATTCCCTCGCCTAATTGAAAAGAAACATTTTGAGGCTATGGGGGCGAATGTGGAAAACTGTATACCGTATCGACCACGACTCTCAGAGTACACATGGTCGGGAAGTTGCGGATTCAAGGCGTATTACTAAAATAGAATTGTCAGACTCGAATAACCTTTGTTACATGACCCACGTCTCTTGTCTGACGAATATCTCTTGGCAAGGTTAAGGCAGGTGAACAAACAATTGGACTCGCAGAGTGCTGAGTGAAGCAAGGGCCGATCTGTCTGACCTCTCCACAGAAGAGAAGCGTTTGTGATGGAAGGTGTCGGTTGACCTTTTTTATTGCAGGATATACAACAGAAATACCTTCATGTAGTCAACGAAACGTCTCAGGCGTGTCGGCTGATAATATATATTATGCTTGTTACAAATAAAGGTTGTTTCACGTCATCTTTATCATACATCAGATATTACGGAGTGTGAGTGAGTTGGGTTAAACGCCATTTGTACATAACTTCAAAGTTATATTCGATTACAGTCGACCTGTTATTCTGGCACAAAGAAATCATCCAACTAGGTGGGAAAGAGTGAGTTTGGTTTTACACCGTTTTGAGCTGAAGCAGTCACAGTGTGTCAGGTTTGTGTCAGGTCGGATGGTAACCTTCCATTTGTCAGACATTCTATTTGTCAGACAGCTTATACCAGGATAAGTCAAAGTTGGTAAGTCAAGCAATAGTTACCTGTCGCCTTTGGGAAAATTTGTATATGGTGCTGACAAACCTAGAAATACCATCAGGGCGAATCAAGGATTATATGGGACATTGCCACCCTGGTTTCCGAAACTGATAACGATGACGTTTTACTCAAATGTGAGCGTCTTTGGTATGTAATGAACAGAGTGAAACCAATGTACGGAAGTTTTTTAGGGCCATTTGTTTTTTTCGATACTAAGTTGAAATTTCAAGATACTATCTTGAAATTTTAAGATACAGAAGTTGAAATTTCTAGATACTATCTTGAAATTTCAAGATACAGATCTTAGAAGTTGAAATTTCAAGATGGTATCAACTTCTGTATCTTTAAATTTCAAGATAGTATCTTGAAATTTCAACTTAGTTTCTTGAAATTTCAACTAAGTATCTTGAAATTTCAAGATAGTATCGAAAACAAATGGCCCTAAAAGGCTTCCGTAGTAATGTCGTGTTACCGTCAATAAAGGGTAATAGTGTAATTAAATCCTTCAAACCTAAGTTTATATTTTTCACGATCTTGAAATTATCTTAATATTATTGGATGATCTTAACCTTGAAATTGGTGGAATGGATAGAGCGTCTGCCCGGAAAGCAGATTGTTCGATCCCCAAACCGCGTCTTACCCAATTACTGTTTAAAAATGTTGTTTTTATGTGTCCGTGTTTTTATGTTCCGCATTCACTCACTCACTCACTAATTATGTTTGCTCTGTTTCAGTCTGTCTCCAGATGGCAGGAGGAGTGTTCGCATTTTATGGAAAGACATCCATGTCATCTTTTAGTATCATACAGTCGTTTAGTAATACGTTTCACATGCCCTACATATCATTTAGTCTGTCTGGAACCACGGACAATCAACCAAAGCCATATGTGATATTTGTGAAACCTTCATATGTGGATGCCATGGCGGACTTAATCGAAGCATTCAGATGGACGCAATTGGATTACCTGTACGATTCGGATGATGGTAAGTTGTGACTCTATATTACCTTTTTCCTGTTTTATGTTTGCCAGGACGAACCAGATGAAATGTTTCAGACGTAGCCCAGTCGTTTAAGTAACTGCATTTCAATGTGCAGAGTTGTGTTTCATGGTCGTGCAAGTATCCACTTATCGTTGGTTCGAATTAAATACTATTCATTGATAATGCTCCTTGCAATTTCATTGTTTTCACCGGCCCGTGAAGATCCGGGGCAGAATAGGTCTTCAGCAACCCATGCTTGCCGTAAAAGGCGACTATGCTTGTCGTAAAAGGCGACTAACGGGATCGGGTAGTCAGGCTCGCTGACTTGGTTGATGCATGTCATCGATCCCAATTGCTTGGATCGATGCTCATATTGTCAACCACTGGATTTGCAGGTCCAGACTCCATTATTTACAGACCGCCGTCATATAACTTGAATATTGCTGAGTGTGGCGTTAAACAACAAACAAACATACAAAACAAAACACTGTCATCACCATCTGCGCTGCCGGGAAAAAGAAAGCATACACTCGAAAACTGGATTTGACTCAAACTTACAAACCTTTTCAAAACGTTACCAGGTTCAAAACAGTCACCGGAACACCGCAATAAAAGGCCGAGTATCAAATACATGACAATATAGTAACCATTTCTTGTTTGTTTCATTTTCCCCATCAAACATGGGTGTATACTGTCCATTGCTCGGCAGTTTATGTGCTCGTTAGTAATACTGAAGTGGTAAATTGTTACGACCTTCGTACCTTTGGCCTTAAACACTCACTGACCTGGCATAACTGAAACATCTTTAGACAGCAACGTCAACCCAGGCTCACTACAGCCGAAACCTGTAATCCCGAGCTCTGGGAACCAGACCACATCCGAGTGCCTGTCAACAATGAAAGCTTTACTGAGGCCTCGAATCTTGTAACACCTTCTCAGAATGAGTCGTATGATATCTTGGTAGAAAACGCATGCCCGATTGTACCTCAACGCCAAAGGATGGAGATGCTGCAATATTGCTCGACATTAAGGGAACGTTGACTCCTGGAAAGTGGAAGTCATTCCTCTTGTCATACAGTCTTGTGGAGAATGTTTTGTCACTATAAATCTTTATGCTTAGAATATAAAAGAGATGAGTCGGTCTCACTGGTCTCCTTTATTTCTTAATCAGTGGAAGGATTTAGCTAGTTCATGGTTATTGAATGATATCAGGTCATCAATATACATGAAGCTTGAGTTAAACGTCTTGGCCGAATTACCTTGTTGTGACTTTGCAGAAATTCCGGCTCAAATGCATAAGGAAACAGATCTGTTATATAAACATCTATCTATTGTTATGTATATATATATCATGCTCATACCTAGTTTGTACATCATTTGCTTGATAACGGTGTTAGAATCTACACCGAAACGTCGCCCAATTGTAATAAAGAAGTTGCTCATCCATAACAATTTTGTCTTAGGAAACAGATCACCAAAAATAAGGGGAGCACAATTGGTCCCCAGTGGGATGCTTACTCCTAGCCTAAATGTCTGTCCCCTAAATTTACAAAGATGTTATCAATGAGGAATTCCAGCATTTCACATATTGTTTTTAGATGACATTTGCTTTCACTTTTGACAAATTGTCCTGAAGCTCGGAAGATAGATTTGTAACTGTATCTGTTGTCACTACTTTTTGTAAAACAAAAAGCCCCATGGATCATGGAATTAATTTTTTTCTTAGTTTGCCATGTGGGACAGTGGTGCACAAAGTAGAAAAATCAAATGTTTTGACAGTATTGAACTGGGTTCTTGTCAGAGATTGTAAAAAGGTCAAGCAAAACCTTTGAGTTTTTGAGATTTCACATGGTTTTGATTCCACTTGTATCAAATATTGTCAGTGACTATAATGAATCCATCCTTGATTTGTATCAAAGATTATCGTTAATCTTTGAGACAGGTATTTGGTGGTACATTGGTTGACCCTACAATATATCTCTCTTTGTGTGGATTTTTATGGCGCTGTGGAATCTAGTATAAAAGGGTAATGGACATGTCTTCAGGTTTTAGAGTGAAGCCTTGTCAAGTCTTTGTTTATCAAGTTTTATTTGCTTTCAAATTTAATGATGTTGCATGCCGCTTTTTGGGTGGACTTTTGCAATCTCAATATGTTGATACTGCTAACGCAACTGTCTTACTCCTGGTTTTAAGTAATACCCCGGCATCAGGAATATTAATGTTTATGTAAAACGGGTCAGCCTTGTGCGATCTAGATCAAACAATTGGCAGCAAAATAGTACAGTCATGTTCTACAGTTTCAGGTACTAAACATACTGGACAGATAACCTCTCCATCATGTTTGGCACACTATGCTTGTTTGTTTGTTTGTTGTTTTGCGCCGCACTCAGCAATATTCCAGCTATATGACGGCTGTCTGTAAATAATCGAGTCTGGACCAGACAATCCAGTGAGTAACGATCCACGTAATTGGGATCGATGACATGCATCAACCAAGTCAGCGAGCCTGACCACCCGATCCCGTTAGTCGCCTTTTACAAGCATAGTCGCCTTTTACGGCAAGCATTGGTTGGCACGCTATTTACAAAATGTCTGTATTCGGAGGTAATTGATGACATTTTATTGACCAAATATTAATTGGAATAGCGATACTTGTCCAGAACATCACCGCCTTTTACGTTAATAATACAATATATAAATGACATTCCACCAAACCTAAATCTTAATATTTTCTCTCCCAGCATTGTCCAATCGCGTTCCATCTTATTTTTATTCTTGAAGAAAATATAAGTTTGAATGACAAGGACACAGATGTATATTCCCTGTGCTATAAAAATCACACGAACGCAAGGACATGTCACCGCTTCAATGGTTTTTTTTGTGTCAATAAAACATGAGAAAACTAAAAGCCTAGGTAGGATAAGCTTCCTTTTTGTTTTCCTTTGTTCAAAGTGTCAGATTTGACAGTTTGAACAAAACATTGGAAATTGTTAAGAGCTGACCAAAATAGCTACTAAAACGTCGCACTGAATAAAAAGAAGTGGAACTCAATAATTCAATTGAAATTCGAGGTATAAGCAAGTTCGAGAACAAGGTGTTTTACCATATTCCTGGACTTGTTTCTTAAGAAATTCAAAGTAAAAAAATATACTTGTGTTCAAATATTAGCAAAATGAACACTCTAAAATCAGCATTATTGACACTTGATAGCCCTAGCGATGTATTCAGTGATATATCATCAACATGAGTTTGTTGAAATGTACAATTCTAATTCGTAAGTATAATCTTATTATTTTCATAATGATTGTAAAAAATTCCTAATTTCCAAAAAGGACCTGAATGATATCATCTCATCTTCATCTTAACTAATGACACATACAGCGCCATCTCTGATCCACTCTACCCTGGACTGAGACTGGGAGATACATCTGTCTTCCAACCCTTAATCGGCCAAGGCTTTCAATGCTTTTTAGCCAACTCTTTCCGAAGGTCCCTTTAGCCTCTCTGAAATACCACGGGGATTTTATCTGTCGCCATTTATGAAAGCTGCTGCCTTTCGCATGGCGCTTGTGAATCAAAATAAGGATTACTGTAAAAGTTCTCCTAGGCCCCATATACTCCCATGAGAGTCGTAAAACTACAAAACCATTTATTCCGCATCTGGTTCATGAACAAGTAAATCCTAGTACAGGACACAGACGGTGGGCGCTCAACCACAAATTGTACCTAGCCTGCATCACTAATACCACAATGCATAGATAATAGACGTCTGGATTGTGTTTAAACAACCGTGGGTTAGCTTGCTTTAACAAACGCATATTTATTCCACGATAGGACAGCTTATTTCGAGAAATCGATTGCCCAACTGGACGGATTTGCAGAATGAAATGGGCAGTATATTCCCATAACCATTTAAATTGAATCAAGACTTCGAACCAAGACTCTCATTCTGACCGCGTTTAGCTTTATTTTGTACATAAATAATCTGTGCTAGACGCATGGAATTATACGTAGGATCATATGTTATACGTACATGCCGTATATTGGATTTGGATGAACCGTTAGGCGTACCTCCATATTTTGTCGGCGTTTTCAGGGTAAAACTCCTTATGGTCAATACACATACTCATAGTCATTGTTGTTGAGGTGTGGAGAGGCATGCGCGAGTGTGTGTGGTTGCTTGTAATAGTCCGGGCTTGTGCCATCGTGCTACCCTCAAGAGGATTCAAAGTCACAGTTCAACATGCCAAGAAAGCAACCCTAACACCGTGTATCCGAGCACCTTGTTGGACTTGTACTCTCTTGTGGCTTGAATATGTGAGGTGAAATGGCGTTTGACGTAGCCTTATAGCACTTATATAGCGACGTACATATGTGTGTGTCTATTGCTGGTTTTATAACATGGTTATAACATGAATGAATGACAGTATACACACGTTACCAACTCCTAACTTACTTGCCCTTCTTTTATCTTTATTTTAACGCCGAGCGAGAGGCAAGGTAACACTATGTACCATCTTTTAACGTCTTATTAGTAAGATGCGGGCAGGGAATCGAACCACCGATCTATCCACTACACAACGGACGTGGTCCATTTGTTTAAGGAAACTTGTATTAAATGATAGTTGATTCCATTTGTCATCCCAATGTATTATTATATATATTATAACTTCATGGACAAAATGTCCTTTTTTACAAAATGAGTTTTTGAAATTTCACTAGGTGCATCGGTAACTGGGTCATCTACCATTCCTGATTTCGTGCATAGGTTTGAGTGAAATATGCATAAAGCTGACCCGTTGAAGTACCATCGTTCATACATCTTCGGATGCATCTTTTAATGCATGCCTACCTCATTCTGGGTTACCTTTGTCCTAAAATATATGCTGGTCGCTAGAGACGACTTATTGGATAGTGAGTTCGGGGTCGGTTACTTTGTTGATTCAATGTTATCGTATCCCGACAGCGAGACCCGTGAAGATCCGGGGTAGAATAGGTCTCCA